CTTGAAAACATACTCAGGTCGCTCTGTCCGCGCATGGAGCGACTCGATGACGGACAAAGGTCGCTCCGGCGCGAACCTCCGGCGAATGTTGGCGATACGTCGCCCAGGAGCCTGACGAACCTCGGCGACCCATCGGCGCACCGAGCGCGACCCTCCGCGAACCGATAGCGTACCGAAAGCATACCAAAAGCAAACAAATCTTTTTGCGTCGGGATCACCCTGCTGGCTCCCGCCCCTTCCCCTCACCTCACTTCAAGACATCCCTCTCTAAGAACTCTATCGCGGGAGAGAAAAGCGGGGGATATGGTGTGTAGGCAGGAGAGGCAGAGGGAGACAATTTGAGAAAGAGAGAGAGACTCGCGCCCGCCCCGTGTGCGATGTCCACGCAGATAAGCTGACAATGTCCAAAACCACTCCGGGCCCCTTGGTCCGCGCTCCCCTTCCTGTCCTGCCCGCCGTGTCCAACAGCGCCGAAAGCTCTGCGGAGGGACTTTCTCCGAGATGGATGAAGCACAGAGCTGAACATCGGTCACCGCCGCCCGCCCCTGCCGCGGCTGCTGGCTTGGGGAAAGTGTGGCCACTTCTACAAGGCGCAAAACGCGCACCGCCCGCTGTCCAAGTTGTTCCCAAAAAGGGCGGTGGCGGTGTGGGTGGATCGGGATTTTCGCCTTATCGGTGCAGTGGCTGGTACACCTGTTGGGATCCTTCTGCTGGTGCTGCTTGTAGTGCTGCTGCCCTCCGGGGATTGGGCCGTCTGCCCGGGCGGCTCAGCGCGCTGTCAGCTCAGTGGACCGGAAGGGCAGAAAACCACGTGACCGCAGCGCCTTCCCCCAGCAGCCACACACTTTCGCTCTCTTGCACATTTGATAGAAATAACCCACCTCTTCACCAAACTTCTAACGGAATGACAAAGAAATTGCCAGGGAAGCCGCACTTCGGTGAATACTACATAATAATCAATATAATGGTATGGTTCCAAGTTAGTTAAGACAACAAGCGACTCTTTTAATTGATGAAGCAGAAGCCGCAGAAAAAAAAAACTCTGCACATCCACACTGTTATGTGACAGTTATAACTGCGAAACTGAAGAGTTTATTAGCACTTCAAACCGCTTCAAACTGTAATTTTCTAATCATGAACGAAAAGTTTTTTTCCGGGGGTCCATTTTCTTCGCCTTTGAATTCTCTTTAAAGCGAGCCTAATGTGACAAGGTTTTGATTTATATTGAGACATGTGTTACTTTCCTGAAATTTCCTGAAATTTCCTGAAATTCTTTTTCCTATTGCATACCCGTTATAATGTAAATCGCAACCCTATACATCACTACGTCATCAGCTTTTTGGTTTCTTATAAATTGTGTGTTTTATATTTGAGGACCTTTACTTTGACTTGCGATTCTTTTTTGCACCTTTATTACCAACCTATAACATTTATCTACTGAAATTTAGATGGCAACTTTCTTACACTTGGATAATTTATCAAAACTTTTATTAAAAGTAAATTTCTAGTTAGTCGTTCCCCAACCCTATAACGTCCAAGTATTGGGATTGAGCACGCGATCGGGCAGGTACAACATTAACAAAGTGCAGACCGGTGGCTGTCCACTTGACGACCGAACGCACCCCCGAGAGGGAGGGACAGAAGCATAAAACTTGCCGCAATCCGTTGGCGCCGTGCAACATGGAGACGGCCTACAGGGAGGGTTAGGGAGACGGGGGAAGGGGGCAGCCGAACATAAACCTAATGGTAAACTGCGTGGTAAAACTGTTAAGGGGCGCGCGGGGCCGACCGGGGAGAGGGGGTGAAGGGGAGGGCTTTCATATTGCACATAACCCGACGCAACCGCATCACAGACCCTCGGGGGTAGAGATACAGTCCCGGCAGACGAGTGACTGCGGCCCCTCTCTGCCTGTCTTACCCTTCTCAGCGAGGGTGCGTTTCTCTCTATTTCATTTATATTTCCCTTTTTTACCGAAACGCTGTTGATTCTCTATCTCACTATGCGACCCTCCCCCCCCCCCCCCCCCTTTCACTATACTCCACTACACCCGCGGTTATCCGTTCAGCGAGGCGACTCTGGGAGCGTGTGACGACCGCCTTCTCTCTCTCACACACACACTAAGTCGTAGGGATTGCAACAACCAGAAAGTCATAAAGCAGTGTCGTCAGTTACGCCCCGAGCTCAGCCCCCCCTCCCCCTCCAACCCTTTCCCCTTACTCGCACGCCCCCCGCGGAGTCCCGGGGAGCGCCGAGGCTCTGCACGGGCTTTCTAATTGTAACAGCCATTATGGACTGCCAACTTTAACTCCCCTCGCAGGCGTGTTGTGTGCTCTGTGGGCTGCTTTTCCCGCTGCTGTTGCTTGCTGCTGCTTTTCCCGCTGCTACCACCGCTGCCTCCACCCGCCGTACTGCGGCCCGCGTCGTCGTCTCCTCGTCCACGCGGTATTCAATCTGGAGCGCGCAGGCACGTAGATGCATCCAGAGGAAATGGCCCTTTCCCGGACCCCGACGTGTCCTCTCCTTCCCCCGCCAATAAAAGCGCCCTGGCGGTGCAGCAGCGCGGCTCGTCCGCCCGATGAGAGGCGCCCGGGGCACCGCAGCAGCGCAGCGCCAGGTCGCCAGTAGCAGGTTGCCACGGCAACGGGCGGGTCAGCAGCGCGGCGACGGCGTAAAAAATAACAAGGTGCGAAGGGAGAGAGGGAAGACGTAGCTCCAGCCTTATACCCAGGACTAAAACTTTGTAAAATAGAAAATAGTAAGAAAATCTAACGAAAATTGCACTGAAATAATTCTCTGAACGATTAGGATTGTAAAATCTAGAAATGTTAATTGTAAAACTCTTAGAAAACTCAAAGCTGCGGCAACGTAAAGGCGTTTAGACGGCGACTACGTCACGGTTGTCTCCTGTCTCCACTCCGCACCCCCTAATTTGTGGACGCCCCCTCGCCGCCGCAGTTATTTGTCCCCCAAAGCCAGGGCGATACGTTTCTTGGCGCCACTATCAGCGTCGCGACGCCCACACGCTGCGTCGCCGACGCACCACCTCTCTGCTCCATCTCCGTCAGCCTCGTGCTGCAGCTGCTCCGTCACGCTCCAGCAGCGATCCCGCGCGGCTAATCCCGAGGTCTTATCCCCGACGGGCCACTTCGGAATGCAGCGCTCACTGTTATCGCTTTGCCCTGCGACTTTCCGGGAGTCGGACAAATTATAACGCGAAGGCGGCGCGCAGAGCCCACCAGAGCTCGCCCACACATGACTTTTCAGATACACAAAAGCTTTCGAGCCTTGAGCGTGCGCAGCATTAATTGGTTCATGATCTCCCCAGAATCTGTAGGACTAAACTGTAGCTAGCGTTACTATTTTAAAGCTGGCCCAACCTTTCGAACATCTTAACCCTCTTCGAACTTGCACTGAATATGTAACCTTCATTTAAAGGTCAAGGTGGTACGAAGGTAGATACAGTTCTCGGTTTTTCAGGGTCTTGCAACAGGCATATGGTTCTAGCGGCAAAAGAGAGCCAAAGACGATCGTGTTTGTTTATTAAAGTTTAGGTGCAGAGTTAAAAATTACAATACAGTTGACAAATAAGGCGCAAAGAGAAAAGCTAAAAGTTCCAAGATACAAAAAGGAAACAATACTGATTATAGAAGTACAAATCAAATGGTATATATGTATTATTAGATGCAAATCTCAAGCATTCTAGAAAGTTTGTCAACTGACCGCGAAAACGAAAGAACATATAAACATAGCGAAACCTTTGCAGATGCGTCCGAAGGTATTCAGAATCCTCTCAAGTATTTTTGCACACGGCATCACTCCCGTGCGGGCTGGCAGATAAGCTCGCAAGTACATAGATATAGCAACAGTACGGTGCATTCGAAAGGTTACTCCCTTGTGTGAGTTAGCAGATGCGTCCGAAGGTAAGAAGGCCGAGAGAACTTCTCCCGGCACACAGAGAACTCGAATGGTTTCTCTCCTGTGGGGGTTCGCAGATGCAACTGCAGTTCATCAGATCTTCCGAAAGTCATATGTTGCATACGGAGCACTCGAATTGCTTTAGTCCCGTGTGGATTCTCAGATGAGTTCGCAGGTTGCTAGATAGCCGTAGTCTCCTTGCAAACGGTGCACTCGAATGGCTTCTCTTCTGTGTGGGTTCGCATGTGTCTCCGCAGGTTTCCAGATTCGGAAAAAGTCCTGTTGCACACAGTGCACTTGAATGGCTTCTCCCTTGTGTGGATTCGAAGATGTTTTGACAGGTTACCAGCTCCAGAAAACTTTTTGCGGCACACGGAGCACGCGAAAGGCTTTTCTCCTGTGTGGGTTCGCAGATGAGTTCGCAGGCTGGTAGATGCAGCAAAAGTCTTCTTGCAAACGATGCACTCGAATGGCTTCTCTCCTGTGTGGGTTCGCAGATGGCTCCGTAGGTCTCCAGATCTGCAATATCTCTTGTTGCACACGGCGCACTCGAACGGCCTTTCTCCTGTGTGGGTTCGTAGATGAGCTCGCAGGCTGCTAGGTGCAGCAAAAGTTTTGTTGCACACGCTGCACTCGAAAGGTTTCTCTACTGTGTGGGCTCGCAGATGTCTCCGTAGGTCTCCAGATCTGCAAAAACTCTTGTTGCACACGGCGCACTCGAACGGCTTCTCTCCTGTGTGGGTTCGCAGATGAGTTCGCAGGCTGCTAGATGCACCAAAATTTTTGTTGCACACGTTGCACTCGAATGGCTTCTCTCCTGTGTGAGTTCCCATGTGTCGCCGCAGGTTTTCAGATCCGGAAAATGTCTTGTTGCACACAGTGCACTGGAATGGCTTCTCTCCTGTGTGGGTTTGCAGATGAGTTCGCAGCTGGCCAGTTGAAGCAAAAGTCTTGTTGCACACGCAGCACTCGAAAGGCTTCTCTCCTGTGTGAGTTCGCATGTGTTTCCGCAGGTTTCCAGATTCTGAAAATGTCTTGTTGCACACAGTGCACTGGAATGGCTTCTCCCTTGTGTGGATAATTCGATGATGTCTTAACAGGTTACAAGCTCGAGAGAACTTTTTGCGGCACACGGAGCACTCGAATGGCTGCTCTCCTGTGTGCGTTCGAAGATGAGTTCGCAGGTTGCAAGATGTAGCAAAAGTCCTGTTGCATACGGAGCACTTGAATTGCTCTTCTATAGTTTGGGATCGCAGATTCCTCCGCAGGTTGTCAGTTTCTATAGACATCCTGTAGCACACGGAGCACTTCCCAGACCAGGACAGTAAGAGATTTTAGCGTACACAGTAGATTTGAAAAGAACTCCTCTTGAGTATTGCATGTGTTTTGGCCAGTGAGATGAGTGAGTCTATTTTCTGACACACGATGTGTGTTTGGAGAGCTCCTTTGGCTTTTAAGGCCCGAAATGTAAGGTTCTGCCACTTGCTGAAGCGTTGCAGGCGATGCACGAATGGAAGATGCCTGAAACGAGAATTTTTCTTTACTACACTACAAACTCAAGGTGGATCTCCAACGGAGCAATCGACGCTACCCATCACCCATCACTCGTCACCCATCACTTGCGATTTCGTGTTTTTACTTCGCGAAATACAATCATTAGGTGTATAGTCATATTAATTGTTCACACACATCCTTAGTCTTAACCACAACCCGAGTTGTACGCGTAAATACACGAAATCGCAAGTGATGGGTGACGGATGATGGGTGACGGATGATGGGTGATGGGTAGCGCAGATTGCTCCATTGGAGATCCACCTTCACACTGGAAAAACAAATGTGCTTACTCCTACCTTTACACAGGCACTAAAACTGCCAAAGGAACTAATTTTTAGCACCTTTTGAGCAATAGTGCTCTGTTTAGTACCTTGTGAGGCACTAAACAGAAAATGTGTTAGGTGTCCCAGGAAAGGCACTAAACTGAAAATGTGTTTAGAGCACCAGGAAAGGCACGACTTAGCACCTTTGTTTCACCAGTGAAATGGCAAAGGACAATTTTTGAACGTAGGCAAGACAGGTCCCTGAGCACATCTTAATCAGATACAAATTTGTGTACGTAAGTCTACGTTACACACAAAATAAAGGATTTGTACCTGGCACAGGTACAATTTGTTCCTAGTTGTACCTGATAAAGATGTGTACAAAAACACACCTAACCTAGGTACATAAATTAGTGTCCCTCCCCATTTGGAGTGTAAACTACACTGTAAAAAACATCAGATACTACGGGACTGGCAACGATCATTCCTTATTTATAGCACACTTCAGGAAAGAGGTTCGGAAAACCGTTTGAGTTGGACCACACTGTTAGTCGAAACGGATGAAAAAGGGGGTCCGGGGTAGTATTTCCGGCCTCATCGGTGCTATTTACTACCTGTGAGAAATTGGTGTAACATGAGCCAACGTAGACCCCTTCATCCCGCCCATGACGGATGAATTGTGAATTTCTAAATCGGATGAGTTTCCCTCCGGGAACTGAGTAATGTGTGCCGCTTAACGGATGTTTCAGCCTCCCCCTATCGGCTGTAAGAATACTCTGTGTATGCGGTACTTCGTTATACGAATCAAGTTTACCATACTGTAACTTTGGAAGTTATAGGAATTTTGACCTCAAATTTTATTTGGGACATCTGCACCCTATTTTAGTAGGGCCATTAAAATTTCATTGAAATCGAAGCAATTTTTTCTGCTAACTTGTAAACGGCTTGAGCTAGGTCAAAACAGACAGCGGATTTGGCTTCGCCTCGTTTCTTACACCCCAAGACCACTGTTCGATTTAGCCTGACCTGATATATTACTTTATTTATCGATAATACAAACATTAAACTTTGCACGAGCAGATAACGCGATGCCTGCAGGCGGTATGAACGGATGGAAATACCTCAGGTGGGGACGGACAGCACATCCGCTATGCTATGATTACATGACTGATATCGATACGGAAAGTTGGCAGAAAACACCGCCGATCGAGGCAGTTATCCTGCACTGCCTCGAACGGATGAAAATACATACATTTCGACTAACAGTGCATGTAACTAAATTTAGGGTACGGACGCGTCCGGAAAATAATTGCCACTCATATCCGTTAAATACGTGATAAGGTTGCTCCGCACCAGAGATCGTCAACACGCGGGCTGTCGGGCTCGCTCACCCAACGCCAGCCGCGCGCTAGCGACATGCCGCTGACCCGAGCCCGAGCCGGGCCGAGCCCGTTCGAAAGTGTTTCGGACAGGCAAGCTGACTGCCATCCCGTGCGTTGACAATCTCTGCTCCCCACACCCTAGAAATGAGGCAGGGAACAACCTCGAACAACCGCTTTGCTTCGAGCGAAGAACTAAATTTTAGGGTACGGACACGTCCGGAAAATAATTGCCGCTGTTGTCTGTTGATTTTCCGTTGTTTTTCTCACAGTGAAGATCAATTAGCACCATTTCTTTATATATTATTTCATTTCATTTACGGATATTAGCTAGTACCCTGCCGTATGCCGACTTTGATCACTCACACAAAAGTTTAAGTTAGCCCAGCGAATGTGGCGTAGCCAAATATTTACAGTGAGAGCTTCTATAGTTCAGCAACGTGTTCTAATGAAACCTTACCCAAACAAAGCTAACGGTCCGATTTGATGACACTACAACTAACTACTACGGCACCCAGAAGACTGTTTAGTCCAGAGAACCTGAGAACCAAATTCAAAACCGACGAAATTTTAGCTCTGGGGACCAAAATTTATCTGTGGCGATGAAATAATTTAGTCCAGCTGACTTTAATTCATTAATGCGACCATATTTAGTTAAAAATGGGGTTACTAAATTTTAGTCGGTTTTAGGAACTAAATTTTGTTTCTTACAACCCTGATTTAGTTTTATCAACTAAATGGTTCTCTGGGTGAGCTAACAAACTAGCTAACTACCCGGAACCTCCTATCATACCTCGGATTCTAAACAGAACCGCTTACGCGCGGGTCCTACCTACACAGAACCGCTCATCTGCTCGCGGCCGGGGCGCTGGTTAGGTAATGTTGCCCCTCGCATTTACTATAATATCACCCAATATCGGAGGCTTTTACGGGATATACGGAGTTCCAGAACAGACTATGTTACATTTTTTGTTTCTCAATTGAAGCTCAGCGCCTAAACATCCATTGAAATATGGGAATCACCCGCCCGTATTTCAGAAAGATAAGCGATTCTGTGTAGGACCCGTGCAGATGAGCGGTTCTGTTTAGAGCTCTTAGTTGTGTGGACTAAAACAAATAAGCGCATTGATAGGAGTTACCGTACCGTAGTTTGTCCCGTGATTAGAAAAACGCCTTGCGGAACGACAGTCCGAGGGAACGATACGATGTGACGGCACAGCAGACCGAATACGCTGCTGTTGCCAGTGCTGCTTTAGAGCGCCTGACGAGGCGGCGCGGGCCGGCCCGGCGGACAGCCGTGTGGAGCGGGTGGCCTCCCCACAGGCGCGCTGAGCACGGCCCCGGGGACGCGTCGCGCGACAGAAACACTCAAAGTAGCGCGTCACGGCGGAACTAGAAGTTACTGCCGGTAGGGGCGTGCTGCAGCCCGACCTTGGCCCAGAAGTGCGACTTCCTGGACTACATGTACTGAGGCAGGGCGTGCGGTGGTGCGATGTACACGAGCAAGGAGAGCGCTCAGGCGCACCGCAGAAAAATGAAACACGAAACAAAGTTTGCATTTCGCGGATGAATATCTTTTCCGTCCAGCTTTTGGCAAGTAAGAGTTTGCGCATCTCCGGCTCTGAGACATGAAATTGACACAAATAGCCGCGATTTTCGCTTATCGTGTCGGGGAGTCGCGAGTATAGAGCTTAAACATCGTAATGCAGTTGCACCGGAGAAAAAAGTATAAAAAATGCTGCGACAGAAATAGTTTGGAAAAAAAATACTGCAGCAAAGCGTCTCGTTTTCTCGTGTCACTGCGCTTGACGGTGACGTGGATTGAGGCAGGAAATTGTCTCGAGATTGAGGTGCATTGCGAAGCTTCCCCGTCGCGACAGGGGACGTCCGATCGCCGTCTCGGCGGCGACCTCGCGGGGTTTGTGTGCAGGGAGCACCGCCTGCAGCGGCAGGCCCTCTTGCCCTGGCGCGCCCTGCAGCCCCGGAAGCGGCGAGAGTCCATCCAGAGTCCCGGGGACGTGGGGCACACCCCCGTCTGCCAAATACATCTTAAGCCTCGTTTCGACCGCAAACGTCGATTTTATGGGAATGCATTTGGCCCGTGTCCGCTCTCCGCAATGCGCAATGCGCGTACAGAGACAGGCCGGCAAGACGGCGACAGACGGACGAACCCAGTTCAGAGAACCCCATGCAAAACCAATTTAGCTCTGCAAACCAAATTCTATCCCTGACGATAGGAAATAATTTGGTCAAGCTGGGGTGCGACCCCCAAAAATTAGGTTACTAAATTTTAGACGGTTTATTCAGAAACTAAATTTTGTTTCTTACAACCCCGATTTACTGTAGTTAAATCAACTAAATAGTTCTCTGGGTGGGGACAGACGGACGGACAGAGGGACAGACGGACGGACACTCTCAGTGCAGTGCCGGCCGCCCAGCACGCTACGTGATTACCCCACCAGTGCATTATTAACCGCCTGCACCTCGATGCTCAACAAAGGGAACCCACCTTATTCAACCCTCCACGGCCCCAACCCTCTCCCCCCGGCCGCGTCCGAACACACGCGCCCCGCCGCGCGGCCCTCGCACTAGTGCGCGCGCGCGCGCGCGTGCGTGCGAATCCACCGGACGCCGACGCACCGCGCAAAAAATTATTATTCATAATTTGTCCCCTCCCTCTCTCCCTCTCTCTGCTTGGGCGTGTACGACAAGGCACTCACACGACCCACTAGCACTCGGGACAACTAGCTTCTCAGCTGCAGCAGCAGCAGCAGCGCGCTCTGTGCACGGCGCCCTCCACAACTGCAGTGCACTCGAGGGATAGGAGAGCAGGGGGGAGGGTCACGCACCAGAGAGTGGAGAGCCGTGCAGCGAGCGCAGGGCGCGCAATCGGGGAGCTAACCTCTCACCCGCGCGCGGCACGAGTGAGTGTCTCGAGACGGCAACATACACAATGCAGACTGGCAAAGACGAAACAACAAAAATGCATTCGTCCCGCCAGAGGAGACGAAGCAAGCTTGCGCCCCTCCTGCGGTCACGTTGGCGTCGAAAGTAAAAGGTTCTTTTTAAAACACTAACCGAGCTGCTCCGCGCCGTCCGCGTGGCGACAACGGGAGCGCGTCTCCGCGGCGGGCAAGCTCAGAGGGACGTCGCGGCGAGTGACCGCCAACAAGAACACAATCATCATTTGGCACACACCCCCGCACCCCAGCGAAAACCCGCGAAAAAACAGTTTTGGTGCACCACTTTTTGATTGAGAGGGCGGGGGTGGAGGGGGTGGGGTATGTTGCGGGCCATCATCGAAGGGGCTGTTGTGGTAGCGGGGAGCGGAGCAAAGAGAGAATGCGCGTTGGTCCGCGTCATTGAGCGCGGCGGAACACGGGGAGAGAGGGTTTGGGTGGCCGCTGCTGAGATGCGCGCGCGAGGGATGGCGATGGAGGTGAGAGAGAGAGAGATGTGGGGGAGAGGGGGGTAGAGGGGAGTGCGCTCGTTGACGTGCGATGACATTTTTGTGGGGACGGCCACGTGACACACGACAGGGGCGGCATGTCCACGACACATTCATGGGTTCGCACCCAAATAGGTGGTGGCGGTGGTAGGGGGCCGGAGCGGGGCGGGCGCCTTCACAGTAGTTGTTATTGTTTCCATCCCCTTTCGCTCCCGTTCCAATTACTACTACTACTACTACAACTACTACTGCTGCTTCTGTACCGGGAGAGACAAGGACAACAGCAAGTGTGAGTGTGTGTGCGCGGGAGAAACGCAAGAGAGTAAGTATGAGTGAAGGGGTGGGGGGGGGGGGGGGGGTTGAGACAACAATTTAGTCATTAACGAGGTTGGCTGCCGGTGCCGCCGGTCACACGCCCTGCCGGCCTGCAGGGTTGGCGCCGTCATGTGCACGGCGGCCGCCTGTCACTCGCGCCCGCCCATACGGCCCGGGCCGCCACGTGACGAGAAGTGTGGGCAATATCGGGCGCGGCGACAGGTCAAACATGTTCTTCTTGAACACCCTTTAGTATGCACAATTTCATTGTATTATTGTGTCCAATTTGTGAATATGAAGAATCATGAATTAAAAATGTGCAAATTCTGAACGTTTATGCACAACAAAATGCCTAGGCTCGTTCCTAGGTTAAGTGTAAACCGATTAATAATTATGCATCTTATTGTTTTAAATTGAAAATTTTTAATAACATGTACTCCAAAGTTTGACAACCTGGGCTAACTTAACTGAGCAATTTGTGTGCCGAGTAGTATGTCCGACCCCTCCCCCCCCCTCCCGACACCCCGCGGCCGAATTACTCAGCACACAGGCGGGGAAACAAGTGAATCATAGTGGCGCTACGTTCTCCTAGCCCTGCGTTCTCTCTTTACCTACCCCCCTTCCCCTCCTCGTCTCCCTCTTGTTCTAGTGACGTAGCAGCAGCGTGGCCACGCGCGCTCGTTCCAGAGACGGCAGCGGCAGGGTACGGCAGCCCCCCTCCGTACTCCCCCTCTCCGAGGTCGCTCTCGCAGCAAAAACCAAATCTGCAGAAAATCTGCGACGCCGGGGGTACGGGAGAAGGGGTAAAGGCGCGGGCGGCGGCGGCGGCGACGAGGGGAGGGGAGCAAAACTTGCGTTGACTTGAATTGTTCCCGGCGAAAACAATGGTTAATTGTATGGCGCGCGCACGCACTCACTCGCCTCCCGCTCGTTACTGGGGGCGGAACCAGCAGCAGGGAGGCAGGGGGGAGGGGGGAGGGGACAGGGTCGGTACTCCCTCCAGAAACTTTACAGCAGCGGCGGCTTTTTGGCGCGCGCTCGCTGGGTGAAATGTCACCCGAACCGCGCCCCCCGTGTTTGGAGCAGGCAAACGAGGCAAAACTCCACGCAGCGGGCGCCGCGCGGCCTGGCGCGGGACGACGATCACGACAGCCTCGACGTCGTCGTCGTCAACGGCGAGAGGGGAGAGAGAGGAGATGGAAGAAAAGGGGTGGTGGTCCGGAGTTGGAGTAGGTGGCCTCCCGGTCTCCGTCATCGTCCACGTCATTGTCCTGGGGGCCTAGGGGGACGGCCGCGACTGTCACGGGGTCGTAGAGTCCTATAAGGGGGCGCCGGCGCCCGCCAGCCGCGCCCGGGGGTTGGCCGAGGTTAGGTGGGCGCCCCGCGACACTGCAGCGCCCCCGTACATCGCCAGCCCGACCGTGACCGTCCCCTTCCCCCTTCTTTTCCTGTCGGCCCGATCGTCAACCCCACGGGGACCCCGGAAGGGGCGGGGGCGGGGGCAGGGGGCAGAGGGCGGAGGCCGGGGGGAGGGCGCCGAGGAGGGGGGCTTTCAAAGCGATTGCCGTCTCCAGACGTCTCGTCGGGTGGCGCGCACCGACGCCGACGCCGTGGTCCCCGGCCGCGGAGGGTGCGGCCGTAAGGCCTCCTGACGACGTCCCCGCCGTGACGTCGTCGTCGTCGTCGTGGCGGCGCCTCGGGGGAGGGGGTGGTGGAGCCCCGCGCCGCCACCGCCCCCTCCAGGCCACGACCTTCTGGAGAGGCTTCTAATCAGACGGGCTGCAGACGGGCTCCTTTATAACAATCTGTGCGGCCCGCCCTCCCTCCCCTCCGCTCCGTTATCAGCTGCGTCATGCACACACGGTACACAAACAGCAATATTCGCGGGGCGGGGACGGACGTGCGGGCGGGGGATGGGGCGGCGGCCCACGATGCGGCACGGAGCCGCAGACAAAAGGCGTAACGAACGGAAAACCGTGTCTTGGCATCCAGCGGCGGCGGGGGCGGCAGCGCCAGGGGCTGAGGGTATGGGGCAGATAGTCATCTCCAACTAACTCATCCTCTGCGGTCTGCTGGGGGCTCGACGGCGGCGGGGACCCGGCCTCTTGGCGACAACCGCGAGCGAGGCCCCCTCCCTCTCTCCTTCCTCCCTCTCACCTCTTTCCTCCCCCACCATCTCTCCTCTCTCTCTCTGCCCATCACCATCTCTCAGAACCCAAGTGTGCTAGGCGCACGTGTGCGACAAGACAGTGGTACTTGTGAGTGCTCGCACGGATGAAGATATCCTTTTAAACTACATGTGAGTTCATGAGCCCATCACATGAAATCAGCAATGTTGTTGACCAATAACTGTTCTTGAGATATCAAAGCAAATATTTTATTCACCTCGCGTAGTCTCCCTTCCTGGCCCACGATAAATTGAATAAGCTTCTGTGAGATTCTCCAGGTTTCGAACAATCTATTTGCTCAGATCCTATGCTCAGATCCAATGCATTTTTTCCGAAGAAATTAAAAATATTGTGTTTCTCACGGCTTCTCACATTCAGAGTCATGTTTACTGAATATACCAGATCATGACTGATCACTTCACCATAGCATTTGAACAAGAACCTAAAATGTTTTGTAATTACTCAGGCCTAAATTTTTACGGGCAATAAGTAATATGTAATTCCGATTAAAAGTTTCAAAGTACTGGCACAGGTGCAAACTCACTGAATTTTTGCAATTACTTGTATTAATATCTATTAGACTAAAAGTTCTCACATTGCAATATGAAAGAAATTTCTGTTAATGAAAACGAACTCAAACTTAGTTTGTAAAACTTTGGAATTAAGTTTTGGTACACGACCTGGGGTATTACACACACAAGACATGAAATCACCCGAGTACCTAATTGCACTTATCTTACATTAAAACTAATACAGCCAGAATACTTTTTGACTACAATAAGTCACAACCATAATAAGGATTGCTGTTAATTCAAGAACTCTCACATGGACAATGAAGGACCACCATTGATATTAATGGAGAGCAATGCAATATAAAGTTTGTGTTGAGGCTTACCTGTTGAATCGCAGTACTCCAAACGAAATGTTTCCACTATCTCTTCAGTGATGTGTAGTCCAAACACACTATGATAGAACAGAAAATTTCCATAGCTCTAACACACAAATCAAGTTAAGTCACAGATTTTACCGTTATTCGAAGTTCGATGAATTACTTTTGAAGGTTAGGAGTCGGTGATGAAATTTTCTCGAACGAGCCAGACACAGCAATTTGCACCGAATCGGCACCACAACGTCCACAGTACGACTAGCAGTGCATTTTCAATATTCAAACTCAACTAAATAGAATTTGTAAACGATCGACACGAAAATAGGAAACTGTAGGCAAGTCTAGAACGAAAGGCCAAGTCGCGCAGGCGCACCACAACTACACACTACACACACACTGACACGGACGAGGCTGAGGCTGATGACGATACGATCTCCAGCGCCATCTGTGAGCCAGGGTAGTAAGTATAGAGGCTAGGGGGAATGACCAAGCTGACAAGGCTTAGGCTCGCTCTCTTTTCCCAGACGCGGCCTCACGGACAGGCCCTCATCGTTCGTTATACCCATCGCGGAGAGTTTTGTCTCCAAACACTTCGCATAGCAGGAGCAAGGAGCAGCAAGAACAACTTCTCTCTCCTGGGCCGCCGGGCTGTCTCCAACAGTTTGTCGGTGCGCGTCGAGGAGCCCAAAGGAAAGCCCTCGCGGTAAGCCCTGCCCTCTGCGTTCTGCCGCCCGCTGTCCTCGCGGCGCGGTCGCACAATAAGGCTGTCCACCTCGCCGTCCTCGTCCTCCTCAGGGCTGGCTGGCGCGGCGGGACCGGCTGGCGGCGCGTCCTCTAAGACCCACTTTGGTGTTTTGTCGCAATTCGCCCCCGGCCACGGGGCAACTCGGCCGGCCCGGCCCGGCCCGCGCGACTAGATGGCTCGGCCCCGGGACACACCGCCACCGCAAGCCCACGGCCTCCACGACCAGAGGCTGCCAGAGGCTGCCAGAGGCTGCCAGAGAACCCCGGCCCGCACGCTCTCCCGCCCGCGCTTCTCATTGTCTCAGCGCCAGACCACTTCAAGCAGAGGGCACACGCGTGCGCTAGCGGAGCACCACGGCGGAGCTCCTCCAGCTGATTATTAGGCCCCTTGTCCTCCCCTCCACCCCTTTGCGCGCTTTCTCTCTCTCTCGCTCTCACTTGCTCGCCCGCTCCTTTTTCTCCCGCAGACCGCCGCTCCCGCGCGCTCTCTGTGTGCTAGATGGGGACCGTAGCATAGAATACGGCCTTCCCGGCCGAGTTGGGTGTCATCAGCTGATGTTGACGGCGTGGTGATGATCTCTCTCTCTCCCTGCTCGCCGAGGTTTCGCCCGGATGGCACGTGACTCGGGGCAGAACCTTGAACCGCGCTCCGGCGCCGGCGCCCACCCCGCGCACAGAGAGGGGAGAGACACTGCCGCTGGGACAATGCAAGTGCCCTTTGATCTGTCGCGGGTGGGCCGCCAGGCCGCCAGGCCGCCTCTTTGCCAAAAGCCCTCCTTTTGCTGCCGCTGCCGCTGCTGCTGAATTTGTCTGCTCTGCGGCCCCGACCTGACCTGTATGTAAGCCCCCTTCCCCCTCTCCCCCTCCTTTCTCCTCCTCTAACTTTTCCCCTCACCAAAACTCTCTGCGAAATTCACCCTGAGGCGCCTTGCAACCCGCACCAACAACGGGACGGGTTGGCCTCCGCCCGCCCGGGCGCTTCACTACATCTCCCACTTTCAGCCGCTAGCGCCCCCGCCGCCCCCACCGCCCCCATATTAATCCCGACGCGGGTGCGCCCGTGGGGGTCGCCCGGCCCCGGCCCTGGCCTGGCCCGGCCCCGGGGCGCGCGGGGTCCTAACGGGTCCCCAAGCACCCCCGGGGCGTGTCTGCGACGTAGCGGGGATCAGCCGACCCCAGTGTCACTACAAGCCCCCGCCCAACCTCCACCCGCACCCGCACTCGCCCCGGGACGCGAGCGTATACTCCCCTTGTATCACTCACGGTATTTTCCGGGCAGGATCACCTGCTCTCATAAATCTATTAGTAATTTCATATGATTTTATGTTCGGGATTGGACGCACTTTTCGAACTCCACGACGACCTCCTCTTCGTCTAGCCGTGAGCGGTCGTATAATCTAGCGCTGATTTTGCTTACAAATAAGTCGCGTCGGCCGCACCTTTCCTCGCACGAAGTCCTACGACAGTGTGAGGAGGTGGAGAGGGGGGGGGGGGCTGTC